TTGCCGTTTCAAGTTTTCCATATGCAGTATGTGCTTTTTAATCTCCAAAGAGTATTTTGAGGTGATTTGACCCAATTCACCGTGTTTAGAGAGTCACTTTCAATAACCAAAGTATGAGTACTAGCCCACGAGGAGGTCACAAACAAAATGAATGCCTCTTTTATTACCAACAAGTTAGCCCTGTTTGAATCAGCTATCCTCACTGACTCGGAGAATTTCAATTTTACAGTCCCATGTTCGTCTCTAAGAATTCCACCTATACCTGTAGGACCCGGTTTTCCAAATGCAGATCCATCCACGTTAAATCTGAGCAAGCCAAGCCTAGGTATTAACCAGACTGATTTATATTGATTTGACTTGTATGTCCTTGTAGCAACCATTTCTTTCGGATATTTGAATAGATTAATAACTAGGTTCTTTATGTTAGGCTAAAAATTTCCAATCCAATCACACCAACGAAAGTGAAATCAAACAATAAATCAAATACACAAGATATAATAATTTAACGTGGTTCGGTCCAATCAACCTACGTCTATGGATGAGAAATAAGATCCACTAGTTATAGAGAATTATAAATATACATCAAATCATCAACCTCACTCAACAATTAATTCTCATAAGACACTCTGAATCTCCTCTAGTCCTATAGAGTATTCTCAACCCAAACAAACACAAACCCAAACCCTTGTGCACACTTTCAACATAACCAAACACATACTCATATGCTCTCATATATCATACCTATGTGAAACCTCTCAGTCTCCTTTAGTCCATTCACAAACAAACATACACACCCATAAGACATAGAGCCCCAATACTCCTATGGGGTGTCTATCTCACAAAACCCTACAACTCTCTTACATCTTTTTCTCATACCTAACCTTGTAGAGACTTCACCTATTTATAACTATACAAACTTGCCCATTAAGAATCTCTCTCATCTTAGAATTCTTCTCCTGTAAGTCAAACTTGCCTATTAAGATTCTTTTTCCTTTTAGAATTCTTCTCTTGCAAGTCAAACTTACTTATTAAGAATCCTCTTTCTCTTAGAATTCTTCTTTTGCAAGTCTTCTCGTCCATCCAGCAATAACTAACAAATCTCAAACATATCTCTAACAAATCTCTTATGAGATTTGAGTCAATATTCTCAACACTTTACTGTTGGCCATCTTGCTTTGAACCACCAAACAACTCTCAATTTAATGGTATGAACAAGTTGTGAAATATCAAACTCCATATCATTTCTATATAGCCATAAAGACCCAATGATAGCAAAAAAAATTCATATGCCATACCTTGTTACATTGTCCCTCAGGTGGAATGTTTTGCCACACTTGGAAAAAGGAAATTGTGTCTTTTGGTGCAAACCATGAAATTCCCCAACAAAGATAGCATACTGCCTATACTTTCCACAATTCAATGCAGTTCAAAAACAAGTGATTGACCGTTTCCACCTCTTGCTTGCAAAAAACACAGCCAAATCCTAGCTCAACATTCCTCTTTTTGCAAGTTTTTCTTTCCCCGCTATTCTACCTTTCAGTACTTGCCAACAAAAAATTTCCACCTTTGGTGGTGCAAGTCCCGCCCACACAAACTTCCATAGATAAACATTTTAAGTAGGATCATTAAGAAACATTTTACAAAATGATTTGGCCAAATACTTTCCACTAAGAGAACCTTTCCAAATCAGACAGTCCCTTATGTTGCTGCATAAATAGTATCCTTGTAACAAATTGTTGAAGTCCCGTCATTGGTGAAATTCCTGTGGGGAATATTGACTTAAATCCCATAAGAGATTTGTTTGAGATTTGTTAGATATTGCTTAATGGATAAGAAGACTTACAAAAAAGGAATTCTAAAAGAAAGAAGATTCTTAATAGGTAAGTTTGACTTGCAAGAGAAAAATTCTAAGGGAAAAAAGATTCTTAATATGCAAGTTTGACTTACAGGAGAAGAATTCTAAAAGGAAAGGGATTCTTAATGGGCAAGTTTGTATGGTTATAAATAGGTGAAGTCTCTACAGGGTTAGGTATGAGAAAAAGATGTAAGAGAGTTATAGGGTTTTATGGGATAGACACCCCATAGGAGTATTGGGACTCTATGTCTTATGGGTGTGTATGTTTGTTTGTGAGTGGACGAGAGGAGACTGAAAGGGTCCACATAGGTATGATATATGGAAGCATATGAGTATGTGTTTGGTTATGTTGAAAGGGTGCACAAGGGTTTGGGTTTGTGTTTGTTTGGATTGAGAATACTCCATAGGACTAGAGGAGATTGAGAGTGTCTTATGAGTATTGATTGTTGAGTGAGGTTGATGATTTGATGTATATTTATAATTCTCTACAACTAGTGGATCTTATTTCTCATCCATGGACGTAGGCTGATTAGATCGAACCACGTTAAATTGTTGTCTCTTGTGTGTTTGATTTATTGTTTGATTTCGCTTCCGTTGGTGTGATTGGATTGGAGGCTTTTAGCCCAACAATTCCCAGTCAAATAATCTTCTTCTGAAAAAGACATCCCAAGTCCATGAATTATTGTCCAATTTCCCTTACTCCCTGATCTTGCCTTCCTTGTTAGTTGCCAAAGGAAATATGTGAGGGAACATTATTTGTAGAATTACCCCTTCAATACATTCATCATACCAAAACTTGATAAGACTACCATCGCTAAGTGAACAACAAAGACGAGAGTAAGTTAAAGACAAGCATTTGTTATCGGGGGAAAGGGGGTAGTGATATTCCTCCAAACCATACAGAATCTTCTACTAGAACCATGTGGCCGAAAAATGTTTGATGACTCACCATCATACTTTTCAATGATTACTCTCCTCCAAAGACATGAGTGCTCGTTTCCCTATCTCCAAATCAATTGGTTCAACATTGCGCAATTTTTGAGCTCCAGATCCATAATTCCAAGACCTCCATTAGCTTTGTAATTACTACTGATTTCCAATCGACAAGATGCAATTTTCTTCTTGAGAAAGATGCACTCCAAAGGAACCTTCTTTGAATTCTATCCAAAGCCTCTCCTTAACCCCCACGTGGAATTTGAAAGACGGACAAGTAGTATAAGGGAAGACTTGCAAGAACTGATTTGATAAGTGTAACCCTTCCTCCTATAGATAAGAATTGTGACTTCCAGCTATCTAATCTCCTTTCAAATTTATCAATAACAGGCGACCAAGTTGTTGTTGTCCACATATTAGCTCCTAAGGGAAGACCAAGGTAAATCATTGGCAATTTTCAATTTGGCACATGATGTGACTGGCCCCTTGATACTCAACTCTAATGCCGCGATGAGTGCCCTTAATTAATTTTCAATACAGAAATAGCTTGAAAGCATCTCAATACTCGACATTTTGCACCTGCTCAAAAACTTGTTTACAGAAAAAAATAGTATCGTCAGAAAATTGAAGGTGAGAAATTTGAAAATTATTGTCCCCAACACCAATACCATAAAACAATCCCTCCGCAATAGTTTTTTTTGTAATTACACTGAGAGTCTCAGCCACTAAATTAAACAAAAATGGAGACAAAGGACAGCCTTGTCTAAGCCCTTTTTTAATGCTAAATTGTCTTGTTGGAGTTCCATTGACTAACACAGAAATAAAGGCTGAGGATATACAAGCCTTTATCCTTTTTCGCCACCTTTGATCGAACCCCATTTTTCCATTACCAGGTCAAGAAAATCCCAATCGATGCTGTCATAGGCTTTTTCAAAATCTACTTTTAGCAAAATTCCACCCTCTTCTGATTTTTTCATAAGATCAACCACTTCATTTGCAACCAAGGAGCAGTTCATAATTTGACTTATTTTATAAACGCAAACTGATTATCCCCCACAACTTCCCCAGCCACTAATTTCAAACGGTTTGCCAACATTTTCGCCAGTATCTTATAGATGCTTCCTATTAAACTTATTGGTCGATATTCACTTAAGTTCGTAGGATTGGCACACTTGGGGATCAGTGTAATAAAAGAAGAATTAATGCATCTACTCGAGGAAGAAGAATTTTAAAAAATCATGCAAAAAGCACATTGCATCACCTTTGACCATGCTCCAATATTTCTTGAAAAGGTTCAGCTTATACTCTTTCGCACCTGGTGCTTTGTTTCCGTCACAGCTCTGAATAGCCTCCCAAGTTTCTTCTTCAGAGAAAGTGCTCTTTAAGAACCGTCATAGTTTAGAATGTTTGTGCATTGATAAATAGAATATTTATTTTAATTATTCATAGTTTGAATAATTATGTTTAAATAAGAAATATTTGTTGAAAACAGTTATGTAACAAAAGAGTTACAACCATTAAATGAATAATTATTTTTGAATAAAAACGTTTGTTTATAATAGCTATATAACGAAAGAGTTACAACAATTTAAACAAATTGACTTAGATATTCATAAAAAGACATGTTTATTCATCAACTATAAATAAATTTTTATTATATCTTATAAGCATAATTACCTTTAAGAAAATATTCTTCATGTTTCAAAATCAAAATTCTTTTCCATTATTTCTATTCCCTTATATATATTTTTTTTACAATTTAAAGGTAATTATAAAATTCATATTTCTTATGAGAAAGAGATAAGAAAAAAAAATTTGGCAAAGTTGGCAAAACAAACTTTTGAAACAAATATAGAAAGCTTCAATTATCCAAATAATTTCTTTTAGAAATAAATACTAAATACAAGATAAGTTTTTTGTTATTATCTTTCTAGATTTTAAATTCTTCTAAAAGAATTTATGATTAATAATTCATAAGAAATTTTGAATCCCATTGAATTTTACTTTCTTTATTGACTATTATTTTTTTGAGGACTTCAAGCATTGGCAGGTTTCCTTTCATAGCCTTCCAACAGAATTTCTACCTTCGGTGGAGCGATCCCTTTCCAGATAAAACTTTTAGTTTGAACTTTGATATTTTAGATAACTCTAAGGCCTGCCTAAATAACGTGGAGTAAAGACGCCGTTTGACGAGTGAGTCCAGATTACTTTGTCAGTGGCATGTGGAGATAACGTGAATGAATTTAGGAGCTCCAATAATTGCCTCCACACGCCAACCTGCCAATCGAAGAGTTCCTGTCTTAAAGCAATCTTCTAAACCCAGTTTGACCCTTCCTAGTAGCCAAAATCTGTTTTCATTTCGCTCTTGTTTAGTGGCATAGCATAAATTCTCCCGAATGAATTTTTGAGAATAAGGCAGGTTTGCCAACACTGATTTAATCAAAGTTCTCTTCCAGCTGGGGATAGAAACCTGCATTTCCATAGACTAAGTTTACTCTTTGCGGAGTCTATAATGGGCTGCCAGGTGGAAGACAATCTCGGGTTAGACCCCAAAGGAAGCCTAGGTATTTAGTAGTTAGAGAATCTACCTTGCAATGGATTTTTGAGGCCCACTTTTTGATTAGCTGATGATCAACTTTGATACCTAGCAGAGCACTTTTCTTGAAGTTTTCCTTTAACCCAGAAATAATAAGGAAGCATCGAAGAATCCTTTTAATCATTAGTAGTTGTTCTTCTAATGGCTGGTAGAAAATAATTATATCATCTGCGAATTGCAAGTGAGATATTTGCAGGTTTTTACAGCTCATTTTGATGCCATGAAGGATACCAACCGAGACTGCCCTACGCAGAAGACAGCTAAGACCTTCGGCAACGATAAGAAATAAGACTGGTGATAATGGGTCGCCTTACGAGAGTCCCCTCTGCATCACGATAGGATTAGTTGGGGAACCGTTGATGAGCATTGAGATGGACGCAGAAGAGATACAGCCTAATATCCATCTGGTCCATTTGTTTCGAAAACTCGTTTGTTTCATAATAGAGACGTGGAAGTCCCAATCAACACTATCAAACACTTTTTCGAAGTCAAGTTTGAAGACCAGTCCACCCTTTGATTTTTTCTGGATAGAATCAATTACTTCATTAGCTATTAAGATGCAGTCCATAATTTGTCTTCCTTCCACAAATGCTGATTGAGTTGGATGGATAAGGGACCCCATGACTTGCTTCATCCTGTTTGCAAATGTTTTTGTATTTATTTTGTAAATACTGCCAATTAAGGAAATGGGGCGAAAATCATTCAATGATTCCATGCACCGCTTCTTAGCAATCAAGGCAATAAAAGAGCAGTTGATGCCTTTCTGGATCCTCCCATGTAAAACTCATGAAGGAAATCCATGACATCATCTTTCAGAATCATCCACTTTTTCTTTATAAAGTTGAAGTTGAATCCGTCTGGGCCCGAAGTTTTATCACCATTACAATCTTTTAGCAAAGTGATCGCCAAAGTGGCACTCGACTACACGCTTAATCTCTATAGAATTGCTGAGTTGTTTGCCTTTGAAAGAGATGTGTCCCAGAAAGTTGCTTCTCCACCGACAGTTGGCCATGCAATGAAAAAATTATGTATTCTTATCACCCTCGCGCTCCCATTTCACTGTTTGCTGTCATTAGGAAATTTTTGCACTCCTAGACAAATTAAAAAACAAATGAGAGTCACCATTAATATTTTTTATTATGTATGATTGATTACCTACTAAAACTTATTTTTTTAATAAAATTTTAAAAATTTATTAAAATTTATAAAAAAAAGATAATTTTTGACTTTGCAAAATAGTTTAGGTTCGAAAATCTATTATGTGTGAAAAAGAATTAATACCCCAACAGTGTTCGTTAAAAAAAATAATACTAATTAATTATGTGTTATCATTTAATTTTGATAAAAAAAGTCTTAATTTTGATATTTAAAAATTAATTTTCTAATTTTCCTTCTTGTAAAAAAAAAACATATTTTGATTTTTTAAGTTGTTTGCTTGAAAAATAAATAAGAACCTTACGTGTTGGAATATCCCTAAAAATATTTCAATACTCTGGTGATATTACAAGGAATTTTCTCACCTAAAAAGTTTTTAAGAATCACTACTCGAAATTGTTAAGAATATTATTTTCGACGGTTCATATTTATCTTCAATATTTATATTTGCCAAGCATATTATAAAAAATGATATTTGTAATTTAAAATCAAATAATGTTTTCTAAAAATTCATTTCTTATGTTATTTATTTAAAAAACAAGAAATTTTTATCGAAAATTATTCTAAATGCTCTAATACATTGGCAGCACTTTAAATAATTTTTTTTACCTAAAGACTTTTAAAGAATCATTACTCGAACTTCTTTTGATTCTTATCATCGAAGAATTCATTTACTTTTATAATATGATGCACATGGATTAATTTATGAGGTTATTGCATGAAAGTTCGTTTTTAGAAATAAAAAGTAAACGAAAATTTTTCATATTGAGAATCATTTTAAGTATTTCAATTATTTGACAATATTTTTAAAAAAATTTTTTAACCTAAAGAATTTTTAAAAATCACTATTCGAATTTTTCGGAGTCCTATTATTGAAAACTCACGTTACTTTCAAAATTATGTAATGCCAAAGACAAGTGCAATATGCATACAAAAAATTATTATTATTATTATTATTATTATTATATTTCAATTTATTAAATTTTTATTACATATTATATATATTTTAAAATATGTATTACTTATTATATTTTTTCGTCACTCATTTTAATTTCCTTTTAATTACCTAATTATTTCACAGTCATTATTATTTAAATTTTTTAAAAGGAACAAAGCAAAGAAAATCTTTTTATTGAAAATTTTTCTAGATACCCTAATACTTTGACGATTTTTTTAGATAAATTTTCTCACCTAAAGATTTCTTATAAATCTTTATGCGAAATTTTTAGAATCTCATCATCGGAGATTTTTATTTTTGTTTCATCTCTTTTTATTTCTACTTAAATTTTTTAAATCTAATTCTAATTCTAATTTTTAATTTTTATTACTATCATTATTAATTAATATTTATTGAAAAGTAAAAATAGTTAATCGTAATATTCAAGTATCATTGTATTAATTTCATTATTAAAAAGAGTAATTTTTCCTTTTCATTATTTTTTATTTAAAACATCATTTAATTGTAAATATAATTTTAAGAAAATAAATGAATGAAAAATCTTTTGTATTGAATATTTTTCTAAATATTCTATTACTTTGGTAGTATTTAAAAAAAAAATTATCACATAGGAATTTTAAGGAATCACTACTCGAATTTTCTTAAAATCTTATCATTGGAGATTATTATTATTATTATTATTATTATTATTATTATTATTATTATTATTATTGCATGAAGTTAGTGTGCATAAAAAATAAATTAAATAAACAAAATAATTTACAATGTAAGAAATTAAATTGCATGGAATTAAATTTAATATAAAAGTTCAAACAACACATATATCATAATATATGAGATTTAGACTTATATTAAACTCAATAACATGAAAGAAATGGATTATATATATATAATACAAAAAACAAATGTGCTATATTATCTACAAACCTATATTAAGCCTAAGATAAAAAAACATGGGTGGTGAGGTCTTAAAATGATGGCCTAGTTTTAAGTTTTCTCGCCACCCTTCAAATGATCACTATGTAGGACAAGAAATGGGTATGAAATTTTTAAGCTTTCTCCTAGTGTTCATGGTAGGACCTTCAAATAATATACTAGTTTTAAACTTTTTATCCCTTATAAACAGCCATATATTGTGTAAAACACAATAAGCACGCAAAGCCTTAAGCTTCGTTTCCTCACAAGCAACCACCATACCATAAACCAGTGAACATGCAAAGCTTTAAAATTTCACACCCATAGCATGCCAAAATCAAATGAGAAAAGAATGACATTCTGAGCAACCAAGAATAATCTTCACAAAACAAAATAAAGTAGTAGTTCCTCACAAGGAACCATATATCATGAAAAATCCAATGAGCATGCAAACTTTAAAAGTTCATACACATACATACCAAAATCAAATATGGAATGAATAATATTATGAGCATCTAAGAATAGTCTTCATAGAATAGCAGATTTAATAATATAACTTTAACAAATATAGATAGATTCCATGTAGGAAACAAAAAAACTTCATAAATTTCCTTCACCTCTCTCGCAAGCCATTTTCTCTTCCCACTTTGAAACCATTTAAAAGTTTTTTTTTTTGTTTCTAATAGCCAACAATCAATTATAAGGGAGGGTGAAGCTCCCAGCATGCCAAGTAAAAAGAAATGAAACAAGATAAATACATAAAATACAACTTTTTAGGCTTTCAAATACTAAAAAAAATACTACCTCATGCTTTCATAAACCTCTAAACTATGAAATCACATAGGAAAATCGACAAAGCTCATAACTTTGAGCTTTGTGTATCTAAACCCTATATGGAAACATAGTAGCACTTATGCATAGAAACAACCTAAAAAAAAATAATTACCTTTTTTGCCTTTTTCAAAGCATTCACTTCCCTCGTTTACTAGACTCTTCCTCTTTTTCTTTTTTTTAAACAAAAATTGGCTTTCAGCCCTTCTTTAAGACCATTTTTTTTGCTATTCTTGTTTTTTGGTTTTTTTTTTAATGGATTCTTGAAACCTTTTTTTCTTTTTCTTTTTTACTTCCAGATCTCTCTCAGTAGCACCTCCTTTCAAAACCAAAAGCCATCACTCATTTTTTCTTTTTTTTTTCCTTGTTTTTTAGAAAACTCTTTTTTCTTTCTTTTTAAAGTTACTACTTTTTTTTGGTTTTTTCCTCTTTCTTTCTTGCCAAAAAAACTCCTCTAGGACTTCTGAAGCCCCCTATCATATTACCCAAAAACCTTCTTTCTTAAGTTTCACCATTTGTTGTTTTTTCCTTTCTTTCCACTACCTTTGTAAGTTGTTTTGCTAGCCACTAACTTTCATTTTTTTTTCTATAGGTTGCTAGTGCCAAGACCTATAAGCCTATCTTATACTGAGGTTATCCCTTTTATCCCTTCATATTCATGACTTAAAATGGTATTCTCAAGCTTTCTTTTCTCTTTTACCTTTTATTTTTGCCATTTAAACCTTATTTTTTTCTCCCTTTTGTATCCCATGCTCTTTTTCTTTCTTGTTGTCCATGAAAAATCCCATGCAAGAATATTAAGGTAGATAGGTAAAACTCTCAACCATGGGCTCTCTCCTTTTGGTTTGTTTTTAGGCTTCCAAATGTGTAGGCCATACCTTCTTTTTTCTTTTATTTTGGGCCTTCCTTAATTTGAGCTAAGATTTTGGGTTTTGTTTTGGCTTGGAATTTTCTTATTCGGGTCATGCAATAGGCTTTTTAAATGGGTTGTTGCTAGGGCCAATCTTGGGCCTCATCCTTGGCTTGTAATGGGTTGATTTGGCCTTTATTTTGGGGCTTGGTAAAAGGTCTCTTAAAAGGTCGCATCATGGGTCATATTTTGAGGTTTATATGGGCCATATAATGGGCCCAAAAATAATGGTCTTTAGCCCACGTGCAAAACTAGACTAAAATATTTTTGACAAAATTAGATCTATATAGTTACCCTTCATTATATATTTCTGAGAATCAGGAATACTGTAAGATGTAGATAATAATTTTATTTAGATGATGCCTTTGGAAGAGAGAAAACCCCTCCCTTTTCCTTCTTTATTTTATTTTATTTTTTTTTTAATTTAAAGGATTCAAAATATTTGACTATTTAAAAACTTTACAAAATTATTTCTTTAAACAATGACTTGATAACTTTTGAAAATAAAATAAGAAATCATACCTAGAGATCTTACAAATCTCAAAACTAAAATAGATTCAACTTAGAAGAGTTACGAATCCTAATTGGAGGACTTAAAAATTATGCTAAAAGGTCTTACAAATATCAAGATCTATGAATGCTCCTCTAATAAAAGGTATTGAAACTTTGAAAATTTAAAATGTTTTGTTCAGAGGTCTTAAAGATTATGCTTATGGGTCTTATTAATCTCGAGATCTTTCAATGGTCCTATAATCAAAGGCATTGAAACTTTAAAAATTTCAAATGTTTTGTCTAAAAGTCTTAGAGATTATACTAAAGGTTATACAAATCTCAAAATGTATAAACGTTTCTCTATCAGAGACCT